AAAAAAAAAAATTAAATGACTAGAAATGAAATAAAATGTAAAATTCCGTTCCTCCGTTGCACTAGACACATTTCAAGGGCTTAGCAGCCACCTGTGGCCAGTGGTTACTGCATCGGACAGCCCAAGTACGGAACATTCCCATTGTCAGAAAAATTTCTAGGAGACAGCAGTGCTTTGTTTGTCCACTGCAACTTTTTAAAGTTTCTTTTCTTCCTTCTGAGTCAACCTCTACTCATTTTGGGCAGACCCGGCAGCAGAATCGGTGGCGGGCATACAACAAGGCCTGAGGTCAATGGGGGACTTCGCATCTGGCCCAGGCATCGGGTTCCTGTAACCTGGGGGCTAGCCTCGGTCACAGTCAACTCTGAGTGAACCCCGAGATTTCAGGGGAGTCTATTGCTCCCAGTGCTGACACCCGATTGGAGCAAACACTCAACTCCACCCTGCTATTGTCTCCATTAAGTCTGTAGAAAAGAAACTTGCCTCCAGGAAGGTGGGATAGTGCAGTAAAAACAGCCTTGTATCCCTGGTTCGAATCTAAGCTCTCTTATTCACTTAACTTCTTTGGGCCCCAGGTGCCTCACTTATGTACGTATACCTTTTCTCTAGCAAACATATAGTGCTTCCTATATTCCAGGGCTATTCTAAACACATTAAAAATTAAAGCTAACAACTTTGAAGGTGACAATTCTCTGAGGTAGCTATGGTTTGCACCCCCATTTTAGAGATGAGGACACTGAGGCACAGAGGGGCAAAGCAAATTGTCCCAGGGCACAGAACCTATAAGTTGTGGAATCCAGACTCAAACCCAGGCAGCGAGGTTCTAGAGTCACTGAAAGTCTGAGTAACGGTCATCCCCAAGGTGGTATTCAAAGCGTGTAACAACCAATCAGAACTGACATTAGCCACAGCACAGGGCGGGGACTTGGAGGCTCCCTGCTCAGTCAGGGTGATCCCTTAGTCTCTAGAACATGGGGAGGTCCGGCGGTTCCTAGTGGGACCGATGGTGGTGAGGCCACTTGGGAGGCTTGGCACGGCAAATATCCACTACAGAACTATTTAAATATTGGGGCGCCTGGGTGGCTCAGTTGTTAAGCGTCTGCCTTCGGCTCAGGTCATGATCCCAGGGTCCTGGGATCGAGTCCCGCATCAGGCTCCCTGCTTGGCGGGAAGCCTACTTCTCCTTCTCCCACTCCCCCTGCTTGTGTTCCCTCTCTCA